TTTACAATCCACTTGTCGACTTCGGATGACAACGTATTCGTCTTCGTCTGCCGTATCAGCGTTCTAGGGCCTTCTTGCGAGGTGTTGCTTTTCCCAGTGTAGGTGCCTATGCGACATCGGTTTTTCAACTGCACCTGCTTCGGATGAATCCAATCTATCCCACGGTCTTCGTTTTCGACCATTCATTTTCTTAAGGGCAGTATGATGAGGATGGCTCACGATGCCTCGGATTCATCCGCAACGTCCAGGCTTGTGGACCACTGTCGTCTAACTATGACTGAACTTCGTTCTTTTGGAGTCCGGGTGACCAATGACAGAATACATGCTGTGGGTCATGGTTGATGTTGGGACGTGCTGACTGTTCTGAGTGCATGTGGGTTCATTTCCTCCGTGTGTTTAAGGGAATGGCTACACACGGACGAAGCCGCTCCGCTCGTGGTTCCGCCCCGCACGGAGAGGAGCGTCGAGGGACGACATCGTCGCCAGCAAGGGAAATGAGTCGGGGAGTTGGAGGTGGGGAGGAAGAACGACGTGCTCAAAACTTGTGGTGCGACTACAGCAAACGTGTTTGGTATTTGGACTGGGCGAGCCAGAACGGCTCCCACCCGTTGCAACCACCGTGCGGGTCGCTCTTGTTCGTCGCCGTTCGCGCCGACAGAACGTGTCTTGCAGGGTCCATCGTCCAGTGGGTCGACGATGGCGAATTCAATTTCAAGTTTACGTTGAAGAAACATTACAGAAGTGATGGTTCTGTCGATGGCATCGCAAAGGGATGCAAGGTTGCCGGGAGGATGTTCGGCGGGTACGGACGTCGTGCGATGTCTTTGCCTCACTTTCTCCCGCTAGCGCCGGGGCACGACGAGGCCGTTCACGTCACAGACTTCCTCGAGGTCTGGGCGAAATCTGGTACCTCTGTCAGTGCCGTGGACGTCGGACCTGGAACATCGATCAGTGGTTCTGTTGGGTTCGCGGGAGGAGAGAGCTCTGAAAGGGAGATGGGAGGTTAGGGCGGCCTGCCAGCTACGCCTCCTGATCAAGAGGTGGGCATGTCAGACGACTCGGAGGGCGACCATCCGCGTGCTCCTTTGAAACCGGGCTTGCATGTATCTCGCCGCCACTGTTTGCTTGGGGAGTCGACGCCACATGGAGGCGGCGATGGCGAACGGTTGCGACAGGGCTCAGAATCGACGACTCCTCGTGGTCTGGTCGAAAGGATCGGTTTGTTCGTTCGTGGCATGCAGGTGGCCGAGGTTTCGCCTGGAGATCGAGCGGGTGGTCCGCAGGTTCGAAAGGTGCGTGGGTCAGATGAGACGACTCGCCGGGCCCGACCAGCGTCGGGGGAACGACAGACGGAGTTGAGCCAGGAACGAGAAGCGAGGGGGAACGTCGCCGGTGAGGAGGAGGTGTCCGAGCAGGGGCTGTTCGGTGAGAGATCGGTTGAAAAGACTCAGTCGGGAGGGAAGCGCAACTTGCTGGAGGAGGAAGAGCGAGAGGGACTAGGTGCTCTGAAAAGGCAGAGAAAGGTAGGAGGGAGTGCTCGGACGCCAACAACACGAGAGGGCAGTTCCGTTGAGAAGAGGAAAAGGGTTGGAGGTGGGGATGAAATGCCAAAAGACTCGTCGACACAGCGAAGAACCGGTGAGTCTTCCGGGAAAAGGGCGAAATCATCGAGGGGGAAGAACGCAAACGAGGGCGACAGCGGGGAGGGGGATGATGATGGGGAGATTAACCTCAACGCCTTTAACCTCGACAATGCGTTCTTCCTCGAGATGCAGACAGGGGTGTAGAAGGACGTCGTGTTGCACATCCATCCCGAAAGAATTTTAGCTATTCCAGACTGGGAAGACGCATACAACCACCGATCCTTGGACGAGTTCCTCGTTGATACCATCGTGTCGGCTATGATCGGTTGCTACGAACGTAAAGACATGAGATACACGAAGCCCATTTTTATTCTCGCTCCGATCGTCGCGCCTCCAGAGAACGGCGAGCCTGCTGTGCGCGTGCTGCCTGCTGACTTCGACAGCTCACACCCGGAGAGATACTGGTATTATCCTGTGTGTGGACAGCATAAAGCGAGGGCGGCGATGATGGTGAAAGACCATCCCGTGTTTGATTACTACAACTTCTGTAAATGGCCGTTCAGACCGATCTACTTCCCTGACGACGAGTTCGACGGCTACGCCCATGTCAGCTGCGAAGACAACATGAAAGACAAGAAGAATTCACCGTGCTTGCAGGTTTTGTCTATGCAGGACATTCGCAATATCTGGAAAATAAAGGGCAAACCGCGTGTGGTGCTCGGCAATGCCTCGAAGAAACAGAACAAGGTGCGAAAGTGGGTGAGGTTCATGGCGTTGGGCAATGAAGAAGACGCCGTACACGCCTATCTGGAACCTGTCAACGGAAGCAAAGAAAAGAAAGGAATGGGCTGAGAAACTTCGATACTACCTCTCGCTGGCCATGGCAGATGACTCCGTCTTCGCTTTGGGGTTGAAGTTCTATGAGAAGTGGTCGAAAGGGAAACTCCTTGCTTCCGACGACCGGCATTGGACTGAAAAGTCGCCCACCCATGAGGAGGTGGCCAAGCCAGACCTCTCCACTGTGACTGACAGCCAGGGGCTGAAGAAACACGTCTGGTACGTGAAGGTGGACGACCCGTCGTTGAAAAAGAGGAAGGGGAAGCCAAAGAAAGGCGCGGAGGAGAAAACTTTCTGCGTCCAAGTTCCGGAGCCGGATGTCCACTGCTGGATGGAATTGGTGGACTTGACGGACCGCGAGAAGAAAAGGTTGTTGAACGGCGTCTTGAACCTTAACGTCGTGTGGGTTCAAATGAGTAGCAAAAAGTTGGCCGAGCAGGGGAAGTTCAGTGTCAAGGAGATGGTCGACATAATAAAAATGGACCGGATTATGCTGAGGCTGTGGCACTACGTGGAGTTCGAGTATGAGGAAATGGATAAGCGGGAGTGGAATGCCAACTCCACGTTCTTCAGGTCCAAAAAGCAACTGTTCGAAGAGTTCAAGGACAGAGGTCTCGACGACAAGCTTTGGAACGAGAGCAGGAAATTTTTCACGGACACCACATACGTCAACAAGTGCCCTCAGTTTCTCGGGTGTCATCATGACAACAACATCAAGAGAACGGTGGCCCTCGTCAACGACCAGCATTTCCCGTCGGAGTGGAAGCGTGTCGTCCTTTCGGTGATCGTTGGAGATCGCGCCAAAGGCAAAAAAAGTCCTCGGGGCGTTGATGAATGCATCAACATTACGTGGACAAGGACAAGCGCCTTGACGACGCTGACCCAGTTTAACGTTGACCCATTGACTGCCATAGATCATAAGGCCGCGCTGGGGAAACTAGGGCATCAGCTACACTCCCACACTTGCATGCTCGACTTGTGCGGAACTGTTGACCGTGCGCAATGGGACTCTGGGGCATTCGCGTCTCAGAGTGAGTTGCTGGGCTTCGTTTCTCAGGACTACTGCACATTGCTGGTATTCGTCCCCTGCCTGTGGAACCTATCCTTCATGACATGTTTGTCTGCGCTTGAGGCTACCCGATGCTACACGGGGAAGTGGGTTCGGAAGACGACATCGAAGAAGACGCATCAGTTCGGAAACAGCGTCTGGGAGGAGCCGGATATGATGCACATCCTTTTCAAAGGCAAGGATCCTCGGCTACTGACTCACCCGGTGTACGAGGGAGTTGTTGCTGAAGACGACGACGCCGCTCTCCGGAGGAAACAGAAAGTGACATCCACGGATGTGGAGGAGAAGTCTTTCAAGTCTTTGACTTTCGCGGACATCGGAAACCTGACCCAGAGGGGGGCTCTGTACAAGGACGGCGAGCGGAATCCGAATCAGTTGTGCAATCAGCTTCTTTTCTTCTGTGGTGTGGCGGATGCCGTGCTGTTCTTGGGCAAGCCGCACGCGYAGGTGGTGTGGAGTYTGCTTCAGCAGGGAAGGCACGTCTTGGCCGTGGATGGGGACACAACGCAACTCGAATACACCGTGCAGTATGTCACCCATGAAGTGTCATCCAAGGCTTACCCATGTGATTTCCACCATGTCGTGGTCGAGCCCGTTTATGACCCGAACAAGGACATGTTCTTCAAGTTGACTCCGAAGAAAAGGCGCCAGGTCTACTCCTTCCTTTACGGCGAACAACCAAGGTTGAGATTTGACCCGCAGTACGTGGTGCGGAAGGAAGTCACCATTGCGGTCCTCCAGGGCTACCACGGAGCGAATCGGGCCGGCGCTGTGACCTTCATTAAGAGGCTGGAATATGTCTCTTTTAACGAGGATGTTGTCGATCCGGCCGACTTCACTTTGGATAAGTACAAGCTGGCATTCGGTGAGGAGGACGACTTCAATATCGAGACTAAGCAGGAGGAGAGCGTTGAGGACGACCTCTTCGATTTGGACGGAGAATTGACCATCTTCAACGCCCAAATTTCCGAGTCGCCATCAGTATGCAAACCAGGGACACCTCTCGCTACACCTACCTCAGGCGGTCCCACACCCGTGTCCTCCTCAACGCCTGTCAAGAGGGGTGGGTTGTCCCATCTGAGAAATTCGCCAAGGGAGCCTATTCGTCTCACGCCGCAGCCCGAACGTCTTTGACCCGGCCATCCAGTTCCTCCGGACCATCCGCATCTCAAGGCTCCTGCGACTCCCTTCCACATGGGCGACAAACACACCTTCTCCACAGCCGAAGATTGGGGCCATGATATCGTGTGGCACCCGGACCATTTCCAGCCAGTCCTTCTCGACGGCGAATGGGCAGTGGCTGTGAGGGACGTAAGTGGAGGKTGGATATATGAYGATCGTTGGGACCTCGAGACATTCAAATCTCRCGCCYACGAKGCGGTATTSGAGAGATTAAGTGAGGTCAATCGACGAAATAAGGACGACCCTGCTCTTCGCGAATACGGGGACACGCTGTTCGAGTTCTTGCAGTCAAATAAATGGCTGGAAGTGTCCTCCGCGTTCTACGCCCTTCCGTCAAGCCCGTCAATTAAGCAAGTGAGTTGGGAGTTGCCTGGGGTCACCCCGCCGGCAGGAGTTGTGAAGCGCAAGTCTCACGGAAAGGACGGCGACGGGGATGGTGAAGGCGGTGGGCAACGAGGTACCGGAGGTGGAAATGAACAGCGTTCGACGAAACAGCGGTCTCCGGGGCGCGCAGGCGGCGGAGAGGGGAAAAAGGGCAGCCAGGAGAAGAAGAAGCCTCGCAGCGGAGAGAAGACAAAGCATCACAGAGGAGACGGGCAGGGGGCCGATGTCGACCACGACGAGGACGGTGGGGTTCTAGCGGTAACAGGCAGCACCTCAATGGAGACGGGGAACGACTTGAGGCCTGGGTGTATTACGCGGCCTGGCGAGCAGGACCCTGTGATTAGCTCCACCAGCGAAACATAGTTTGTCGATGCGGTTGGCGGGTCGGGTGTCGCAAAGCATGGAACATGCTTCGCTCAGCTGCAAAAATGGTTGGCGGATTGTCTCGGATCAATCCGAACCTCGGAGACGACCTTGTCCGGAACTCAATGCCTTCCGGGAAGCGAGACGACAACAAACCACGGGTCCCACAGCGACAAGCTGGAACCGTGTTCCGTTTCGCCTCAAAAGGAATTTCGGATTAATCCGAACCGCGAAGGCTGTGCCATCGAGGGAGCACAACTGTCTACAGAACTCGAACGGTGGTCCGGGTTTCCGAAAACCCTGGCGACGGAATTCGGATTCATCCGAACCAGGAAGCCGTGTCAGCCATGACAGACGATCGGTGTCAGGATGCAGTAATGCTGTGCGTGGAAGCCCACAAGGAGCTGCGGGCGGACTGTCRGACTGAGGGTGAGTTGGCGACCAGTTCCAATGTCGAGCCCAACAGACTCGGAGCCGAGTTAGCAGTCGTAAGCGACTCCCGGGTGAAAGCGGTCATGTCGGCGTCATTGGGAGCTGCGGGGGCTCAGATGAATCCGAACCAGGGCCCTGTGAACATCTCCCTCCCTGATGCATCTTTGGAGATGACCGTGATTCGGATTCATCCGAGGCACACGGATGAAGGACTTCAACTGGCAGGCGTTGAGGGATGTCGACTACTGACGACTTTGGACAAGGACAATTCCGCCGACGACCGGATTGATCCGACACTCAAGAACGTCGGGATGGAGCTACCAGTTCAGCCGGGATACGACGATCCCTTATACTCCGCCCTTCACAACGAGGCGACGGGGGAGGACGATCTGAAGAAGGCCTCTGACGCTGTTGGAGATAGATTTCTCTATTTGAGTGACGACGACAAAGACACAGCGTACGGGGACAAGAAGTTAAGGGGGGGAGAGGTGTTGTTGGACATCCATGGGACATTGAGCCCAACACAATACGACACAGTGGCAATGGAGAAAACACAACCTGTCGATGTTGTGGACGTCGACGATCTTTGTCCGGAGACGAATATACCGTCTACGGTCATCGACGCCGACATCTCAAGCCTGTCAAGTTTCCCTGTTGGTTTGGAGCACGTCGTCGCCTCGTCGACGCGCGCAGGGGTGCCAATCGTGCTGGGACTGCCGTCGGTGGGCTCTGGTGAAGTGGTAGCTAGGCCTGGTAAGCACTGACTTTCTCTGCTTTCTTCCCGCTCGTCAGCCCGTTCGTGAAGTATTGTTCGCTTCATCGATTTCGGGGAGGTGTATAGGCGGCCGCCGACTGGATTGTGACGATGTGCTTCGTGAGGTGCTGTTTGCTTGGTTGCTCTTGCGAACTTGTGTTGTTGATCTCCTGCTGAACTGTCTGGGTGGCTATTTCTTGTACAGGTCGACGAACTCGTGGACAAACACCCATGTCGCAGGAGCCGCCTGCCCTCGCCAGGTTGTCATTCCTGGTTGTGGGAGGCACTGGTCGTCGCAATGTCACTGATGCGTTTCNAGGCACTGGTCGTCGCAATGTCACTGATGCGTTTCCTGGGGACACTAAGCCTCGAGGCCCTCCCAGAAGGGTAGTCGTGCCCGTATTGGGCTCCCTCGCAAGACTCGTTGCAGAGGCAGCGGGTGTTGCCGAAAAAGACTGCAAGGAATTCCTTCTCGAGGCTTGCAGGGATATAAAGGACAGTGCTAGTTTAGAATCAACTGTGTGTAGAAGGTCCAAAAGTAGGGGTGACGTTATGCGTGAACTTTTTGGACCACAGAGTAGCGGTTCCTCGGACCATGGCCGCTAGGACGGCATTTTCTCTTAGTGCCCTGTCCTTTGTGCTTGCTGTGTGCTGCGGGTGTTTGTTGAACAGGGTTTCCTCGAGATGGAAGAGCGGTCCTTGAAGACGTTATCTGCTCCCGGTTGCCGCTCACTATCATCGTCGCGCATTTGCCGTCGGACAATTTACAGGTATCCGTCAAGGACATCGTCGCACTCGTGGATAGATCCGGGGAGCTCAACGATGAGGTTGTCAATTTTTGCATGGCGATGCTACTGGACGACTGTGGCCAGACTGCCGCTACCATGAAGACATGCACCTTTAACTCCTTCTTCGCCTCTTCACTGCTTCTGCGAGGTCCGACAGTTGTTCTTAGATGGGCTAAAGATGTCGACCTCCTGTCTCATGACCTCGTCTTGGCACCGGTGCACAAGGACGGCGAACACTGGAGCCTTTTGGCCATTGACTTCTCTAGACGTGTTTTTGAAATCTATGATTCTTTCTCGTGTTCGTCATCCAAAGATTCCTTCTACTCCGCACTTCTGGATAAAACTGTTAAATTTTTGAACACGGTGGCACGTGCCGCCGGTGATGGTCGCACTTTCGACCACTTTACTCGCAAGGTCAGCGTGAAAGGTGTCCCTCGGCAGCACGACGGGGCTAGTTGTGGGGTGTTCATGTTGATGTTCGCTTCCTGTTTGGCGAGAGGTTTACGTCCACCTTTTGGTTTCTCCCATAGACACATCTCCTCTATCAGAGCTAGACTAGCTTTGGCGATTTGCGATGTTGGTAGGTAAGCGTCTATCTCTTTGTTGATCATGAAGTGTAGAAGGGTTGACGTAGAAGAACATTTCGTTCTTTTCCGGACGAAATTTGTTCCTTTTCATTTTTTCCGTGAGGGACTGATGGGTGTTCTCGGTTTGGTTCAGAGCAAAATTGGCTGTCACTGCCAGGAAATCTCCGGGTGAACTTGTCATGTCCCCGGCATGTTTGTCGTCGACAATATTGTTCTTTCTCATTGGATTTCAATTATCACGAACGTCCCCGTTGTTGGGGCGCCTGTTTCGTGATTGAATATCTCGCTTTCGTCATTTTGCGCCTTGTGTGGTGTGATGTTCTGCCCGCATACTCGGATGCATCCGGACTCGAACTAACTCTATGTTTTTCTGCCTCTCTCCCGAACCTCCCCCATCGTCTACACTCATCTATGCATTTTCACTTTGAATGTTGTGAGGCGTCACATAAAATAAAATACAACACACGGGCCTCTTTATACATTTGATGGCCCGTCTGGCCCTCCGCACTGTGTGCTTTGTGATTCCGATATTGAATGCTGTCAATTCTTTGGCCCGGCAAAGCTCCCCCTCTGCACAAGCATTCATGCATTCAGTTCCTATGCATTACCCAATACAATGAAAAATTAGAATGTGCCGAGAGGGAAAACCCAAAAGACGACGCCAATGGCTGCTCGAATGTGACGAGATTTGAATTAAGGTGGCGGGGCTGAAAATACAATTGCATGATTGGACAAAATTGGATGTGGTGACGGAAGGATAAATCACAACACGGGCTAAGGTCTTTGCTATAGAGGACTTGAGTTAGTCCGTCGCACACTCAAGGCCAATGAACGAAGTGGGCGCTCGAACTCCGAAACTGCTTGCTGGAGGCAGCACCCGCATTTGTACTCGAGCAGACCGGTCTCTAGGCGACTATACTAAGCGCCTGAAGTTGTTTCACATATAGTCTCTGAGGATCCTACACAGACATATGTTGGTTTCCTGCGGATTATGCCCATTGCATTTCAGTAAGGTGAACTCGTACATGTATTGAATTTGACACACAAAACAAAGGGCCGAAGGCCAGAGCTCCCCTGTCATCTCGGATGCATCCGAACTTGGCTTACTCTCGCCTAACGAAAACCTTGCAACTCTTGTACAACTACACTTGTGGTTTTCGCATGTTCCTCGAACATGCGTCTCATGTGCCACATGTCGACATGAAAAGAAAATTCAGTGCGATCATCCACACTCTCTTTGTCTCTCTCTGTGTCTCTGTCTTTGTCCCTGTCTCTGTCTCTGTCTCCCTCTCCATCTCTCTGCGCACTCTTTCTATCTTTGTCGACTCTGTCTAGATCGTAGCGAAGCGACTCACAGCCGAGACACTCCGGATGGATCAGAAATGTGGTGGATGATGGTATAATGTTTTTCTCTCTCTCTCTCTCTCTCTCTCTCTCTCTCTCTCTCTCTCTCTCTCTCTCTCTCAGTTTCGCAAAAGATACTTCTTGAACTGTGTCCCAAAAAGCACAGGGGAAGCTTCAAACTGAAGGGTCTATACTAGTTCGACACTTCGGATAAATCCGTAACACGAAATGTTGTGGGTGGCTATACGGTGCTTGTCTTTTCCATCTCTCAGCCCTCTGGCGTGCTAATATGCCATTCCTTGGGGACTTCCTCTCTGTCAATCTCCTATGATACCTCGGATATATCCGAACTTCGCTTATCTGGGAAAATCACATTGCCTTGCTGCTCTTCTGCAACGATCGTCTGAAATGCTTTTAAAAGCGAGGCTGATGATCTCCTCGTGTGCTCGACCCTGCGTCGTCCGTGCGGCGTCTCAAGAAAATTAAGTACAGTCTCTCTGAGACACTCTGTCTCTCGCTCTTTCTGTCTCTCTCTCTTTTTCTATATCTCTCGCTCTTCAAATGTACACGACCATTTCTTGCGGACTTCCTCTGTCTGTCTATCTCCTGTAATCTCGGATGCATCCGAGCTTCGCTGATCTTGGAAATTCACATTACCTTGCTGCTCTCTTACAACGATCGTCTGAAATGCTTAAAAAAACGAGGCTGATGGTCTACGCGTGTGCTCGACCCTGCGTCTCCTGAAAATTAAGTACAGTCTCTCTAAGACTCTCTATCTCTCGCTCTTTCTATCTCTCTCTCTCTCGCTCTTTTTGTCTCTCTCGCTCTTCCTATCACTCTCGCTCTATACATGTACACGATCATCGGTGCAGAACTCCAATTCATTCTGGTCCTCACAGTTCTAAATACAGGTCATCCTACTCCTCTAAGTCTGTGAAGAGCCACAACTCGTTTTACTCACAAACTCGAGTTTGTGTCATTATACTGTTCTGATTCGGATGAGTGGGATGCTCAACTCCAAGTGAAACTATGACACAGTGGTATATATTACTCTGTTCTTGTGTTCCATATCTGGACACAGGAGATATATGTACTGAGGCAGCTGTACATATAACACAATGGTAGCAGATATATGTACTGACTCAGAGGCGTATAACACAGTGTATACTCTGCTGTGGTGTTCCACATCTGGACACATCCGAACCACGAGAGGAGAGCAACTATATGTACTGACTGTGCTCCTCGCTTAAAGCTGCTTTACTCCTTGTTCGGATGTATCCGGATCTGGAATACTACAGCAGACTATAAATTCGTTTCAATACAGTACACACAATAATGTACTGTTTTAACAAATAACATGTTGAGAGAGAGAGAGAGAGAGTCCGCCATAGCGGACGGCGGCCGGTGCCGCCACGGTCGGAGAGAGAGAGAGAGAGAGAGAGAGAGAGAGAGAGAGAGAGAGAGTCCGCCATAGCGAACGGCGGCTGGAGCCGCCAAGGTCGGAGAGAGAGAGAGAGAGAG